GAAATGCTGGGGGGCTTGTGGAACTTCCCTTTGAAACAAGGCACCATGGGGCAGAGTACCTTACATTCCTCAATCCCTAAAACCATGTCCCTTTTCAAACCTTTTTTTCCGGGCATTTGTTAGTGGGACAGACAAAGCATCTCTTTTGAGCAAAATTTTTTTTGAGTTTTAAGGAAGCTTTTTTATGAAATGTCCCTTCCCTCCTCAAAAAACGCTTGGGGGAAACCCCGAGGGTCGAGGCCTTGTTTTATACAGGTGTTCTTACCTGGGACTTCATTTTGATTGGGGCTGCAACCAGAAAACAAAATTCACCATACATTGGTTTTGTTGCCCGTCTTTATTTGGTACAATTAAATGCATTGAGCCCTTTAAACGCCCCTGAGATTTAAAAAAAAATTTTTATGTACCACTTGAACTTTTACGAAAACAATCCCAAAAAAACCAAACGAATGTCACATTTGTTCCAAAACCCAAACGCATGTTTTTTGTATAATCAACACTGTCACTGGTTTTTGAATACTTCAAATTTGTACCGACAACTTTTTTTCCCCTGTTTGCATTTTTATTAAGGTGAATGGGTTTCAACAAAGTGGGCAAACTCCCCTTTTTATGCCACCCCAATGCCATGATTTCATTGGCAGTAAACACCTGCACTCATCACCACGAGGGCCCGCGTTTAACCTGGGGATAAAGTTTGCGATTAGAAAGCACTGTGCCCCACACACTTCTTGTTACCGCAAGAAATCACTTTTAGGGGGAAAAAAGGGTTGTGTACCATTATCGTAAAATAAGGGATGCCCCCCTTAAACCAAAAATAAGGGGGGCCCAAACCCTGTTTCTCCAGTCCCCCTGAATACCCAAAACAAACTTTTGGGATCTTTTTTAATGTTTTACTTCCCTGTATCAACAATAAACCAACACCAGGCCACTGTCCCCAACAAAGTACAAACAGTTTTTAAAACCCCAAAACTTTTTCCCCTTGCTGTAAAATTTTCTGCTTTTAATGACAGCCTACCCTTTAAAAAAAAATCAAAGACTTTGTCCCAAAAAACAAGATTCTTGAATGGGTAAAAGTATATGCCGAACTTTTGTTTGAGGGTACATAAAAACAAAGCTAATCTTTTATAACCCGCACTTCCCGTCCCGGCCTGGTTTTTTCATAGAAAAGTGGGGGGGGGGGGGGGGGAACCCTACATAACCCGGAAGATAAACCGTTCACTGGGAAAGAATTTTTACTGAAAAACCGGGTAGAAATTACCGATCTGTGGACCAGGGATGCTTTTATATTTTGCTTATAGACAAGAGGGATAAGCATTTTTATTGCAAAAACAAATACATTTCTGCAACATTTTCTCTTTCCCCCGGTGAAATCTTGAAATTTGGTGATATGATGGGAATTTTTCCAGGTGGAAAAAATAAATTACTTTTCCCCAAATGTTTTTCCTCAATGGGGGGTCAAAAATAAATTTAAAGAATTCCCGTTCATTGGGCCCGGGTTCCAAGGGGGCAAAATAGGGAAATTCCCTTTGAAGCATCAAAGTTTTGGGGCTTTGGGGAAAAACCCCCCACACCACCCACCACCATCCCGCCCGAAGCCTTGGTTTTATCCATGCCAAGTGGGGACCACATCATCCTTTCACAAACTACATCGGTGTAGGGCCCCCAGGGTTTACTCCGGGGTGACTCCGTCCCCCTTTGGGGACAGCCAAAAAGGGGAAAACTACCCGAGCGCTTGCGGCGGCGTACATACCACCCCTTCACTGGTGAATATATTCCCCACTACACTACCAAAAGAAGTCAAGGAGCAATAAAAACACAATCCACGTCATTTTTTTTTTTTGAAAAATTTTTTTTTTTGATTTATTTTTTTAAAAAAATATTTTCCCTGCCGTTTGGGAAAATAATGCCTTTTGGGAGTTTCCCAACCCCCAAACCCGAGGGAAAAGGTTTAGGACCCCCCAGGGTTTTCTTTCACTATTATCAAGACCCCGGTCCCTTTCCCTTTTTGGTTTATTAACCCGATCAAAGCCAAAGAATTTTTTCTTTTAAATTTCCCCTTTCATCCGTGTCAAACTATCAGAAAGGGAAAAGGAGAGGGCCCCCCTTTTTCCCTGGAGTGAGAGCTGACTTGCCCACGAGGCAGGGGGAACAAGGGTAACGACCGGGGTTCCCAAAATGCTACGGGTGCCCAAATTTTTTTTTTTATTGGCCCACACCCACCACCCCCAAAACCCTTTCCCTCACAAGGGAGCCTATGAGCGCTTTTCCCCGGGTAAATTTGACGGCTCTAGAAAATTTTGGGGTAGTTTCTTTCGGGTTTTGGAAAACTCAACTTTAACCGTAAACTATGGAAAGGGCCCTGAAAAGGGGTTTAAAACCTTTGGTTTTTTTCTAAAGAAACACTAACACATCATTCACGCTATCACTGTCTTGCCAGAGGGACATAGATACAATTCAGATGTCCCTCCAAACAGCAAACATCCCTACCCCTCCTTTAGAGTGCAGGCACAGTCCTTCCCACCTCCAGGACTCAAATCTGGCTAACCGGTTTCGCTGAATCTCTTCACAAAAGATGTTACCTTGCTCACACTCCTATCTAACACGCTCACACATGCCTGCTGAATGTCTAATCCCCTTGCATACAAAACCTTCTTCACCCCTCTTCCTCCATCCTTTCCTATGAGAACCCCTACCCTTCTAATACAGATTATACCACCCTCCAAGCCAACCTATTTTGCTCCACCTCAACAACCCCTCCTCAGTCCTCTGGATAATGCTTTTAGTAACCCCACACCACCTCCTAATTTCCTAACTATGAATTCTCTGCATAATATTTACACCATGCATTGCCCTCAGACACAACATTTTCACTGCCTCCACCCTCCTCCTCGCTGCAACATTCACAACCCATGCTTCATACTCATGTAAGTGATGGTATCACTATACTCTCATACATACCTCTTTATGCCTCCATGGATAATGTGCTTTGTTTCCACAGATGCCTCAATGCACCACCCACCTTTTTCCCCTCATCAATCCTTTCATAGACTCATCTGCCAACAAGCCCATTCCCAAATATCTGGACACATTCATTTCATACTCCCTCCTTCCAATCTGATATCCAATCTTTCATTACCTAAATCATTTGTTACCCTCATCACCTTGCCCTTTCCTATGTTCACTTTTAATTTTTTTTTTTCTCCCCCCCAAAAATTTCATCTATCAACCTCTGCAACTTCCTTCAGAACTCCCAAAAGCAGTGTCTTTGGGAAAAAAAAATTCAACTTTTTACAACTCCTATTTTGTATTAATCTGCTATTTTAATCCCCACCTCTCCCCACACTTAGTATTCACTTCTGGGACACCTTTATCCCTGTCTGGGCATACTTTTACTGGAAAAAAACCCTCCTCTCTCCTACATACACCAATGACCCTCACGTTCAAAAAACTCTAACTGCTTCAAGAACCTACCTCTTATTTCATGCACTTTCAAGATCTGCCACATTGCTCCCTATCTAAACCCCATAACAATGAAAACTTCCTTACATTTATTTAAAATTTTTGCCCCTTTATATGCTTCCACTTACTGCAAGAATTCAAGGATTCCAATTTTTTTTTTTAACTATTTTAACAAACTGATAAAATCTGCACCTAAACAGCTAAAACCAAGAGGTTCATAATTTCTATGCTGAACGCTTATCATTTTAAAAAAAATAGTTGGCAAAGTACCACCAAAACATTTTGTAACAACTAGTAAGCAATACACCCTGTTGAAAATTTTTTAAACCCCTAAAAGGGCTTTTTAATTTTTTCATAGAAAACCCAAAACAGGAATGACTTTTAAAAAAAGACAAAAGGACACATGCCATTCCAATAGTTTCCCTGACCATTTTCCTATTATGGTTTTACCAGCAATGAAAACTTTTTGACTGGTAAGGCATCAAGATTAAATGAAAACCTTTAAAAATAAACAACCGAGAAAATGTTGGGTCTGCAATAAAACAAAAAAAATGAATCTAGTATGTCTAAGGGTTCCTAAACAAGTGAAACAATAACACAAAAATAATTACCATTTGTCATTTTCTGTTCCAGCTATATTCTACTCCAAATTCTTTAATTTATATAACAAAACTAATTTTTATAAAAAAACTGGAATTTCCATACCTCCATAAGTTACCGGCTAGGGGTAACTATGGGGGTAAGTAAAATTTTTCAAATTGGCATCAACACAGCCCAGTCACAACCAAGCTTTCTGCACTGAATGTCTGTGGGAATCATTTAAAATTTCAAAAAAATTGGACCCACACAGCCCCAAAATTTTTAAAAAAAAAAAAATTCCTACCGGTTTAAGTACCGGCATTAGAGTTTGAAAATGACAAAAACACATTCTCAGATTATCACATGGAATCCAAAATAGGGCATGCTCTATACAAAATTGACCAGAGGGCACCAGCTTATGCCAATATTTGCATAAATCTTACCCTAGTTACAGTAAAGTAGTGCTGAAAACCTGAAGTCAGTTGAATAAGTTCTCATGTTATAAATAAAAAACCAGAGGAAGAAAACAGATTCAGGTATCCCTTTAGGGCAGGGATTCTCAACTTTTCCTCCATCATTAATCCCCTTGGCTTGATGTATTTCTCCATTTACCCCCTTCTGTACAAAAAGCTTATCACCATCATAAAGGAATGGAAAAACAAGGTGGTCAGAAAAAAATAAATTATTCAGGTTTTGCACATCAGGTACATGAAATATTTACCCCTTGACATGTAATTTTTTACCCCCAAAGAGTAAATTTACCCTTGATTGAGAATCACTGCTTTAGGAATGCCTAACAAAAATTAAACGAAATGTAAACTGATCTACAATTAAAGAGCAACAACAATAAACATGTCAATAAACCAACAGTATCAGAAGAAAAAGAAAATAAGCAAATGAAAGCCAAGTTTAGCATTTATTATGACAGACACAAAGGACCAAAAGAGTAGCAAAGCACTCACCTCCATCTATAAGTTTTTGAAACATATCTGGTAGGTTCTTCTCCAGCCACTGTTTACACTTTTCATAGCCAGGATAGTACTCGCAATACTGGAAAGAGAGCTTATCCATTATAAAGAAGCAAGTCTTATTTCTGAAATTTACATAACTGTTGCCATATTAGGTGACATTTCAAATATTTTTAAAAGTCCCTGCTTATTGTGAAATATTTCAGGCAGACTAAAACCTAAACTTAACAATACTGTACTTAATATTACATAGTTCAAGTCAGATTATTTTATTCCAAGTTTAATATAATCAAGTTCTCTAAAAATAAGCTTATCAAATGTAATGATAATTATAAGTAACAAAACTCTAAACAGCAATGCTAATATAAAAAGATAATGCAAAATTTTATGAACATATTAATTTTAGTTAATACTTTAATGAAATACGTAATTGGATATAAAGAAATATGTATGAATAAAAAAAGATACCCATATGTATATACAGTGGAACCTTGACTTACGAGTGCCTCAACATACGAGTTTTTCGGGATACGAGCCATCGCTCGGTCAATTTTTTTTTATCTGAGTTATGATCCAAAATCCGAGTTACAAGTGAGCTTCCCTCTCAACCCACAACCCGCACACCTCCACCTCGCTTGTGTTTATCTATGATTTCATGCTTTAATTCCATGGACATCATCATCTTTTTCTTCTCACCACTGTCCTTTGCACTTACTTTCTTAGAACCCATTTTTAGAAAAAAGAAATTTGGCAAAATAACTGTACATAATGCAAGCAAAGCACGTGAGAAATGCTTCCACTGCGCAGCGGATGTTTTGGCATTTGCTGTGCCAGCTAGTGGCGGTGTTCTGTAGATTTTATTATTAATCTTATTATTATTATTATTATTACTAATATTAGCAGTTTGGAGGGATATGTTGTGTATCTTTATACATATATGCTTCTAAACTGTTGTGTTCTGAGCACCTCTGCAAAAACAGTGATTATGTGTGAGTGAGGTAAAAGTGTTGAATGATGATGAAAGTATTTTCTTTTTGGGGATTTTCTTTCTTTTTGGGTCACCCTGCCTTGGTGGGAGACAGCCGATTTGTTGAAAAAAAAAAATTACTAATACAGTGGACCCCCGAGTTTCGGCAGCCTCGACTTTCGTGAAATTCGACCATCGGCGAGTTTTTTTGGAAAAATTTGGCCTCGTTTCAAAAAAAGTCTCATGTTTCGGGGGGACCGCCCGGTACCCTTCCCCCGTCGTCCTTCCCCCACCAAACCAAAGTACCCCCCAAACCCATTCACCCCTTCAGGGGGCCATTGTTTCCCAAACATGTGACCATCCCCCCCCGCGGGTTCATACAATACTTTTTCAAAATAACCCCTTTTTTTTTTTGTGCTTGAAAACCCCTAAAAAAGGGCCATCATGGCCCCAAAGGGAAAAGCTAGTGAAAACCCCTTTTGGTAAAAAAGTGATGAGGGGGATGTGGAAGATTTTGGTGGGGACCAAAAGGGAAGAGCAAACCACTGCCCGAACTGCAAGAGCTTCAACGGGAAAACAGCATCAGACCACAGCCGGGAAAAACTTCCCTTTCAAGAGGGGGAAGAGGGATGGATGAGGGGTTTTTCTTCAGGTTTAAAGGGAAACATGTGTGGAATGGGAATGAGTTCCCAAATTTTTTTTTGAAAAGAACCCACCCTGCCCCCAAGCAAAAAAACAACCATATCTACAACATGTACAATGCAGTTTTTTGGTCCCCTTCAGAAAAAACTTAAAGAAATGCCAGAAAAAAAAAACCTCTCGGGACAAAAATTTTTTGGTCGACAGGGGTCCATACTCCAAGTTTTTTCCCAGGGGCATTAAAAGAAGGGAAGTCCCCCCATTAAGGACTGCTACCTAAGCCTAATGGAAGGAGATTCTCCCCCCAAAACAATGGGTGTACACCTTCCCCCCTATCCCCCCCCCCGGGCCCTCCCACCAAAAGTCTTCAAAAAGGGTTAATTTAAAAAAAAATTAAATTTTTTTTAAAATTTCATTACTTGTTTTCCCGGGGGGGATTTTCATTATGTAAATTTATTTTAATTTTGAAAAAAAAAATATTTTTTTTAAAAATTTATTTTTGGGTGTCTGAACGGTTTAAATTTTTATTTCCTTTATTTCTTAGGGGGAAAAATTGTTTCGATTTTTTCGTAAAATTTTCGCCCCTTGGGCCCGGTTTTTCTGGAAGGGAATTAATAAACGAAACTGGGGGGTCCACTGTATATATTAAAAATTATTATTATTATTATTAATTTAGGTAACTGAAGTTTTGCTCATTAATTTTTTAAATTATTACAGTGGAACCCCGAAATTTCGGTGGGCCCCCCAACTCAAACAATTATGCAATTTTAAATTTTTGTAATGTATTTTTTGGGGGGTTTTAAACAGAAATAATCTAATTTTTCATTATTCCCTTTTGGGGAAAAAATTTTGTACGGTAAACCCGCCCCTCGAACAGGGCCTTTTGGAACGAATTAAGGGCTGAAACTCCCGGGGGTTCCCCCTCTATTAAAATTAAAAAAATTTTTTTATTTAATATTTGGAAACTTAACCCCGAACCAATTCCCTAGACAAGAGCCCCTCACCAGTGCCAAGGTTCCTTGACACGGGAAGGGGCCCCCGATCTAAGGAATTGGATCTGGTTTTTCCCGTTTTTCCCAAATTTAAAAAAAAAAATAATAATTTAAAAATAAAAAAAAAATAATAAAAAGGAAAGAGCAAGATTCCCGTTTTCCCCAAATTAAAAAATAATAATAAAATAATAATAAAAATAATAATAAAATAATGAGCTTCAGAACACCCCCCACAAATTGGCGCAGCAAATGCCAAAAAAAACCGCTGAGCATTTGGGGCATTTCCCCTCATGCCTTTTTTTTTGTAAAAGTGGTCCCCCAAATTTTTGTTTCCCTTTAAACCCTTCCGGAAGTGGGGCTATTATTTTGGAAAAAAAAAAAAACGATTTTTGAATAAAAAAATTCCCCCCGGGGCCGCGGGGGGTTACGGGCCCCGGGAAATTTTCTCCATTTAAAATCCCCGGTTCCCGAACCCCAGAAGTAAAAAAACAAAAAAAAATTTTTTTATTTAAATAAAAGATGTAGTACATAAAAAATACAATGGGGGCATGGTGAAAAGAAACATTTAAAACAAACCCCTTACCTTTTTTTGGCGATTCCCTTTTTAAAAGGGAAGGAAGGGCTGGGGGAAAACCCCACTAGCCCTTTGCAAAAGAAAATGAGTGGGCAGCCGTCCTTTTATAGGCCCCTTTTGTCCGGGGAGTGCCTTTGCTTCCTTGGGAACGTAGTCCCTTTGGGATTTTTTTTCCAAAAGAGCCTTTTCGTCACAATTTTAACACTTGTTCAGGTTTTAGTCCTTCAAACCCCCTAAAGTACCCTTGAATTCCCGCACATTTTTTTTCCCGCTTCTTTTGGTTTCCCAAAATGGCAGCCTCACCAGCCTTACAACTGTTATCCATTTCCTTCTTAAAAACTCTTTAAAACCCAACCCCCTTCTGGCCTTAAAAATTTACCCCACAACACCACAGTTTTCAGGCAATTTTTTACCAAAACGCATGCAACTGCCTACCCTTTTTTCACAAAAAATCGTTTTTCCACACCAATAAAAACTTCTTTAACATCTTCGAGTAAATGGTGATCTCATTTTTGGGCAGCAAATTTTCCCCCTTTTTCAAAAAGAGCCCCCCTTGATTTCCTTTTTTTTTTGGGTATGATGGGAAAAAAAGGGTTTTACGGGATTTTTTTAAAAACATCCGGCCAGTTCGCCCCATTACGCCACTTTCCCTATTTTTCAATGATGTTTTTCTTAAATTCAATCGAAATTTTTTCACCTTTTTTTACCAAAGGGGTTTTTACTAGGAGCTTTCTTGGAGTCCCTTTTAGCTTACTTAGCACTTGCAAGCGCTAAAATGAATGGAATATTATGAAATATTTCGTATGAACATGTGAGGGGACCGTCGCTCACTGGTAAACAATGGCACACTGGCTGGGAAGGGAGGACGACGTGGCTCAGAGCCATGAGTACGCGTCCAGAACAAAAGACGATTAGAGAGTTAACGGACCATTTGTGAGCCAATGTTTAGACGAAATAACGCGACTACAGTATTTCCAAAATGGACGACTTTCAGGCCTGACGATTATTGAGGGACCACTGTATTTTGTATGGGGTTATTTTGCCATATTTCTTTTTTCTAACCATGGGTCCTAAGAAAGTAAGTGCAAAGGACAGTGCTGAGAAGAAAAAGATGATGATGTCCATGGAATTAAAGCATGAAATCATAGATAAACACAAGCGAGGTGGAGGTGTGTGGGTTGTGGGTTGAGGGCCACTGACAGCATACACGGCTCTGCCTATCTTCCATCCTTCCACCCTCCATCTCTTCTCCCAGGTAAATATGTACGTACACTTTAAAAAAACAATTTATTTCTTTACATTCTCTATTATATTTTTATACAATATTTCTTATTTATAAATACATTGTTTCAGTTTTTACCTTGTGAAAATAGTGCAGTTAGCCTCAGAAACACACTGTTTTCAGAATAGGAAGATATGGTCAGTGCAGAAGCGGCAATGGCTGCCACCACCACTCATCACATGACACATTTTATTCATTCTAGAGTATATATCATGTTTCTATGTTATTTATATTATTTATTATGTCACATTAGATGAACTGCGGTAGATAAGTAAGCCGTAGAGTTGATATTAGCATCATTGAAGTATTTTGTCCTGCCTCCCGAGAGCAGGAATTCTGATGGAATAGATTAATGGCATTTCAGTTAATTTAAATGAGGAAAATTGATTTGATATATGAGCAAACTGACTTATGAGCTAGGTCACAGAAAGGATTAAACTTGTAAGTCAAGGTTCCACTGTATAAATATATAACTTACCTCTATGGGCATAGTGCAGTTACCACAATAAGCCACAGTGAGTGGGTACTCCACTCCTGGTAGAGGTGTAATTCCAAGTATTTCACTCATTTTACTGAAGAAATAAAAAAAAATGATAAATTTTAAATGTGTTATCTAGAAGTAGTATGTAGTACCTGACAATGAACACCCCTCTCACATTTTGCAATGTATTCTTTTTACCCGACCCCAAAGGGAATTAAACAAAGGGGCCTCTAAACCAGAAAATTTTACCTAAAAAAAATATATATTAAGCTTTTTTTCCCCTCAATTCGTTTTTTAAAATATACAGTAAACTGTTTTTAAAAAAAATTTAAAAAATATCCCAAAAAATTTTTAAAATGGTTTTTAAAAGTGTCAAAAAAAAAAATTTTCAAAAAAAGGGTTTGGGACACAAACCAAATACCAATTTTGGGTATGTTTTTCTTTTTAAGCGAGGGAATTCGTTTCCCGAGGGGGTCTTAGGCCCCTTCTCTGCCTTTAAGTGAGGAGGGGGGGCTGTATAAAAAATAATTTTTTCATAGAAAAAAAAGCCCCAACTTCATCGGGCATTAATGATTAAAAGGGGGCCCCAAAATGCATGTGGATGTGGGGTATAGTTACCGGGCAGCTACCTTTTGACTCCCGTTATTTTTCAAAATTTTTCCAGTAATAAAACCCTAGTACATCGGGCAAAATTTTTTTTTGGGATATTAACAAAAAAGATAAGGTTATTTCCCTTTATTTACAATTGGGTTTGGGTTACTTTAACCTTTAAAAATGCCCCCTTTATCTTTATTTCCATTCACCAGACATGACCCTATGCCTCAATGGGGTTGTGTAAATTTTAAATTTGTATTTGTTTTCCTTTTTCCCTTTGTATGTCCCAAAAATTAAAAATTTTTGCACTAGAAATGCTATTTTTTGTGTAAACGGGCCTCCCCTCACTTACGACATACTCGTTTACTGATGATTTGGGACTTCCCAAAGGGGCTCTCAAAACCATATGCAAAACCTAAATAAGGGTTATTTTGGGATTTTAAAATCCTCTATTCTTTTTTTTAAACAATTTACAGTACACTCCCAACAAAAACCCTTTAAACCCTCTGATTTTTTTGCTCGTAAAATTTTATTTTTTTAAACAAACCACCGTTTTTGCCGAAAATATACTAAATTTTTCTGGGGGCTTCAAATCAACAGGAGAAATCTGGTAGGGTTTTCCCACATGTGAGAGAAGGGGGTTTGGTGGTAAAGTTTTTCACCATAAAAAAAAAAATTCCCAGCCACACAGTGAAAAGAGAAAAAAAAAACTCGAATGTTTTTTAATTAAAATGCTGACTTGGGTTTCTATTTTTGAATGGGTATTTATGGTTTATTCCCCGTTTTCTTGGCCCTTCTTTTTATAGAAGGGAAAAAACTTTTTTATGGGAAATGGAGGTGTTTTGGGTTTGGGTTTTTTACTTTTTAAAAAAACCCTTAAAAAGGGAGCCAAAGTAGGGGAAATGTTTGTTTTTCCCAAATGTTAAAAAGAAAAACAAATGATGTCTTTTTTCAAAAAAAGTCCGTAACCATTTTTAATATAAGTCATAAAAGGGGTTTGACTTTAATTTAAAAAAAATTTTTACAATAGGGCAGATCTGCATAACAGTAAATTTATTTTTTATTTTTTTTTGAATAAAAATTCAAAATAGAAAGCAAGAGTAATATCAGAGGGGTCTGGAGACGTGACTGATGAACAAAGAAAATGTTATTTTAGAGCCAGGAATGTCTGCATTGTTCATTCTGGACCCTATTTTGAAATTGTCATATTTTTTAATTTTCGTGAAACTGGCCAAATTGCAAATTTCTGACCACGTCATTAGGTAGTTGAAATCGGTAAATGGGCAGTCTCTTGTACTCAATTGATAGAAAAAATGGAGTTCTAAAGAAATAGCTGTGAGTTTGGTCGACTGGAACAATGGAATTAGCCGAAAATAGGGCTCAAAGTGGGCAAAATTGCCAATTTGTAAATATCGCCGAGGTCGCTAACTTCGCAAGAGCATAATTCCGCCAGTTTTCCATCAAATTTCATTCTTTTGGTGTCATTACAATCGGGAAAAGATTCTCTATCATTTCATAAGATTTTTTTTTTTTTTTTTTTTTTAAATTTTGTGACACCAGGAGACACCTCAGGATTTAGGGTTGCGACAGTCAAGGGGTTAAAAATATACTAAAAATGTTATCAATTGTTCAAAGGTAACATTAAAACAACATCAAAGATGGTTGACGCAAACCCACTACTATTATAGTATGCTCCTTGCTTAGCAATGAATTCATTTACCGACGTGGTCTTAGGAACGGAATTCTGTCAAGTGAGGAGAGGCTGTATACTGAAAAGTACAAATTAAGGACAGAGTTTCACATAATTGTTGGTAACTATTACTGAAAATGTGTGTATATATATATCTATGTATACAGTGCCTTCACATATATGCAAGTGCATAAGTATGCTTATAGCAGACTACTAGCTTGACAATTTCGGGAACTGCCAGGGCAACTTTTACATGCAAGATGGTGCCTCTTATCATACTGCCAAAGACATAAAAGACTGGCTACATCATGCTTTAATAATTGGCCTCATAGCTCACAAGACTTCAATCCGAGAGAACGTGGAACTTTATCAAGTGTAAGCTTGGTTGCATGGACGGGTCCTCTACTCTTAAACTCTCGAGTGCCACTCAGCAGGTGTGGGAGGGTACTGATTCTTTTATCCTGAATAATGTACCTTTATCAGTGCCTAGGAGATGCGAGTTCATCAATAGGATGGGTAATCCTACAAAATAGTTGGTTTGGTGAGTAAGACAAGAACAGGATAAGATTTGTTCAGATTTTTAACTCAGAGGGTTAGCCACCCAGGATAACCCAAGAAAGTCAGTGTGTCATCAAAAATTGTCTGTGTTATTTCCTTGGGGTCCTTCAATCTTGTTCCCCAGGATGCAACCCACACCAGTTGACTAACACCCAGGTACCTACTTGCTTGCTTGGTAAAGAGGGACAGCAGGTATAAGGAAACATATCCAATGTTTCCACCCGGCAGGGATTGAGCCGCACACACTCAATTTGTGAGGAAGAAGCGTTTCCTACCAATCCATGGGCAAAGTTTTATCGTTTTAAATAATATATTATGGTTCGTACTCCTGTTATGTGTGATTAGTTTATGCAAGGTCATAATTATGACAGCTACTTTGTGTGTATTAGCATTTTTTTTTTTATCATTTGGTTGACCATACCATCTTAAGGAATAAATTATGCTTAAATCATAAGAGGGTCTGATTTGGATATTTATTAATGATATAAATAGCTGATCCAATATTTCAAAACCCAGGACAACTTCAGAAAATAATGTTATTTCTACCTAATTTAGTTTGACATACTGATAAACAAGACCAAGGATACAGGTGCTTAAACCAATTTTCCTGCTATTGCTGCTACAGACACAACACACACCTGGTTATATGCACGTTAAGACATTATTAACGTATTTCCTTAAGTGAAGGAGCGCTAAACCTGTATGGAGTCACAACACTTTAGGGAATGGGGAGGGAATCAAGACTCCATCCAAGGAAAAGGAAGGCAGCTCCAGTTCTTAGGATCAAGAGCCCTCCACCGGCACAGAGGTGAATAACAAACAACTCTTACTGCAAGAAAAGGAACAAGACCAACCAGCAGGAGCAGCAGAAGACGTCTGTGAGGAGCGACGACCCAGACGTTCCTGTAAACTAGCTTTAACATTCTATTATCCTTATTTAACTCGATTACTTTATTATTATATGTAAAATACTAGTTGTTTTTTAAGCAATAACTATTTTATTCGATGATCACCACTTTTATATGCAAAGAATTCTTGAGTGTTAGGCGTCTTGTTGGTGATTGTTATGGAAAAATGTATCTAAAAGAATGTTTCCGTCCAGCTTCATTAGACAATCTTGAGAACGAGGAATCATGCTGCCTGGGGCACCTACATATAATTATTATTAACAACATAATAATAATAGAAATAACAATAATAATAATAATAACAATAAGAATATTGATAATAATAATAATAATATTATTATTATTATTATTATTATCATCATTATCGTCATTATAGTACTGATAAAAAAGTGTATAATTATTTTATATTTATTAAGAAAATTAATAATAATAATAATAATAATAATAATAATAATAATAATAATAATAATAATAAATATCTATTTTTACAAGTATATGTACAAGGTATACAGTCCTAGCTGACATCATTGACATATAGAAAGCAGCTTGTGGAAAATTGCATTTATCTGTATGTATAATTATGTACATTACAGTAAATGAACATAGATAATTATTATTTATCAGTTAGACAAGTAGGAATTTGGGACACCCAGGTCGCAAAAATGTTCCCCTTCGATACCTACCACTGTCATATCCACAAGTTGCTCTGGACCTATTAATTAAATGAATTATACATCACCAGGAATTCTGGTAAATATATAAATTTGTGGACTGTATATTAAATTAAAAAATGATTATATATAAATACACAATTACATAACAGAAGGAAAATGTATCTTAATATCACTCACCAATTTGACTGGAGATTAATGTGTATTATACCCAGAAAACCTCACTGTCTAAATTTATGAAATTACTGGCCAGAATTAAACATAAACAGACTTATCTGAGGTTCCTGGAGCTGTGTTGTCCAGTCGCCTGATACTCAAATTATGCAGGAATGCACATCCAACAATTTCGCCTCCTATTTGAGAGGTGTCAGCCCAATTTTAACCTCTAGAGCACGAAAAATTCTTCCCATTCACTCTAAGGTTCTGTTCAATTCAAAACCAAGATGGCAAGTCTCGTCTGCCCAGACGCAGGCTTTCCGTTTTCTATGACAAATATTATTAAATACAGTATGGCCATCTATTTACATATAAATACTGAATTTCTGGAAAATATATACAGTATTTTCCACACTGCGGCCGGCCGGAGTTCGTTGCTAAACGATTCAAATTACTCCTTCCTTTAGGAGACGATTCCAGCCAGTTCTGGCTTGAGTGGCTGTTCTCCTAGTAGGTCTTACTACGATTTCATCTTCCGATTTCATCTTCCGGCATCACTTGGTCTGCGTTATCTTCCATATCATTTGTGTCACTTTCCCTCAGATTTTCATTTACGTTTGATTGAGCACCTAATTCGAAGGGAATCAATTTATTAATTGTGCGTAAACTTTCCTGGCCATGACACAACACTTTGACATTCCTGACAACACCTTGTGCATCTGGGTACAATGTCAATACTTTGCCCATAGGCCACAATGTTCGATGTTGTTCAGTGTCAATTAACACAATGTCACCTGGTTGAATGGTCTGTCGATTTACTGCCTCTGTCGCACCATAAAAGTGTCAACGTAGTGTAAGATATTCCTTACGCCACACATTAGACCAATGATCAATTACTTTATTTAACATTTTAAATTTATTACACAACACGGCTGCATCATTGTAATCTTCATCACTTTCTTCCGGATTATCTCTAGACAGGGGCAGCTTCCAATTTCCTTCCACATATTAGATCAGAAGGTGTTAATACATCTGCATCAGGTGTATCACTCATGTAAAAGAGAGGCCTATTATTTATACGATTTTCTGCCTCCACTAACACTGCACGGAATTCTTCCAAATTAATTCTCTTCCAGTGTAGTACTTTGCGGAGACACCTCTTCACTGTGCCTATCAGTCTTTCGTACAGCCCCCCCTGCCAAGGGGCTCTAGGAGTAATAAATTTCCAGGTACACCCTCGCTGGGTTAACAGAGATTGAACATCGTTACTATTATTTAATTCTATCAAGTGTTGAGCACCTGCTACAAAATTTGTGGCATTATCCGAAATCATCAACCTCGGACAGGATCTCCTAGCTGCAAATTTTCGAAACAGCTGTATAAACTGTTCTGCAGACAAGTCCTGTGCCACTTCTAAATGAACTGCCCTAGTAGCAGTACAGGTGAATAAACAAACATACACTTTCAGTGGAACACCATTTGACGTACCTGTTAAAATTATTGGACCACTATAATCTACACTTGTTACATCAAATGGTTTCACTAATTGTACACGCTCCTTTGGTAATGGTGGAGGACCTGGGTACATATAGGATCTGGCATCCACACAGCGACATATTACACAAGATTTAATCACCCTTTTTACACTTTGCCGTCCTTGTGGAATCCAGAAAGTTTCCCTAATACAATTTAAGGTATCTTGTACCCCACCATGCATTACATTTTTATGGGCATTTAGAACAATCAAATTTGTTAGATGATGAGTTTTGGGCAGTAAGATAGGGTGTTTAGCATAATCACCCAATTCAGCATTTTGTAACCTACCTCTGCACCTAATTACATTGTTCTCTAAATACAGCCCCAATTTCTCTGTTATAGAACCTTTCACAATTTTTCTTTCCATCATCAATTTAATCTCATTTCCATAGATTTCCTCCTGTACCCTCTTTATCCAATATTCAAGAGGATGTGAAAACTTATATGAAATATTCATCTTGTTTAGAAATTTAAACACCAATTTAGTTACATTGATTAGTTTGGGTAAAGAAGAATACCTATTTATATCAATGGATAAAGAAGGACAAACTATTGGAGCGGTGGTCACAGTAATTTCAACAGGAGCAATATACGCCTTTTGTACAGGCCAATTAGCTTTATTTACCAACCAGCTCAGTCCTTTAAACCATGATACAGCATTTACAAATTTAGCATAAGAACATAAGAACATAAGAAAGGAGGAACACTGCAGCAGGCCTGTTGGCCCATACTAGGCAGGTCCTTTACAATTCATCCCACTAACAAACATTTGACCAACCCAATTTTCAATGCCACCCAAGAAACAAGCTCCGATGTACAAGTCCCACTCAAATCCAACCCCTCCCACTCATGTACTTATCCAACCTAAATTTGAAACTACCCAAAGTCCTAGCCTCAATAACCCAACTAGGTAGACTGTTCCACTCATCAACTACCCTATTTCCAAACCAATACTTTCCTATGTCCTTTCTAAATCTAAACTTATCTAATTTAAATCCATTACTGCGGGTTCTCTCTTGGAGAGATATCTTCAAGACCTTGTTAATATCCCCTTTATTAATACCTGTCTTCCACTTATACACTTCGATCAGGTCTCCCCTTAAGGTAAACCTCGAGACAAGAAATCAGCTGGATTCTCCTCACCAGGTATATGATTAAATGTTAACATATGCCGACCCAAACTATTATACTTCTCTTGCATCTGATAAATTTTAGCGACTCTGTTTTGTACGTACACAATTTTACTGTTTCCATTGTGAATCCATTGTAAGGATACCTCATTATCAGACCAAATTACAGTGTCGCTAATATTTACCTCCTGCAACTTATTTCTTATATAATTAGCTAATTTGACACCTACATAAATGGCTGTTAATTCCAACTGAGGCAAGGTATGTGATTTAATTGGAGACACTTTAGCCTTAGACATAACAAGAGAAATAACACTATTACATTGAAGGTAAGCAACTGCTCCATATGCCAATTTTGAAGCATCACAAAAATGTGGAGTACATTTTTCCCATTTGGATTGGCCACCTGGCGTGGGAACTCCAACATTGAAATTTTTTCAAAATCACCAATTAATTCATCCCACCTGTTAATGAATTCCTCAGGTAGAATTTCATCCCAAGCACATTTAAGTTTCCATGCTTCCTGAATTAATAATTTCCCTCTTATAGTAAGGGGTGACACTAAACCTAGTGGATCAAAACATTTGGAAACTTCAGCAAGCAAAACTCTTTTAGTTAATTTATTGGGCATACTGTAATTATTAGGTTTTAACATTAACAAATCTCTCTCAGTATCCCAAGTTAAACCCAATACATTACTACATTTTGGCACTTCATCTCCAGGGTAATCTTTACTTATTTTGTCCTTTAATCTGGATGAATTACTATTCCATTCCCTCAGAGGCATATTTGCACTTTGCATTATTTTATTAGCCTCTCCATAAGTCATTAACAGTTCCTCTTCAGTTGACGTCACACCTGGAGTTTACCTGGAGAGAGTTCCGGGGGTCAACGCCCCCGCGGCCCGGTCTGAGACCAGGCCTCCTGGTGGATCAGAGCCTGATCAACCAGGCTGTTGCTGCTGGCTGCACGCAAACCAACATACGAGCCACAGCCCGGCTGATCCGGAACTGACTTTAGGTGCTTGTCCAGTGCCAGCTTGAAGACTGCCAGGGGTCTGTTGGTAATCCCCCTTATGTGTGCTGGGAGGCAGTTGAACAGTCTCGGGCCCCTGACACTTATTGTATGGTCTCTTAACGTGCTAGTGACACCCCTGCTTTTCATTGGGGGGATGGTGCATCGTCTGCCAAGTCTTTTGCTTTCGTAGTGGGTGATTTTCGTGTGCAAGTTCGGTACTAGTCCCTCTAGGATTTTCCAGGTGTATATAATCATGTATCTCTCCCTCCTGCGTTCCAGGGAATACAGGTTTAGGAAATTGTCCACATAAAATTGTTTGCTCATTACTTTACTCAATGGACTTTCCATACGTTTAAGGTGTGCATTTATCGTCGCTTGAAGT